TTGACTGCTGCTTCCATGAGCACTGATTGTGGATTGTGATTGTGAGGATCTGGGTCTTCTTTACACTGAGCTGTCATCACCCACCCTGAAGGCTGAAATCCCGGATCTTCATCGGCAGGTGCGACAAGTCCTCCTCACTTTCAGCAAGCAAGGTTGTTCCAACTACGTATCGCAGGTTGTTAACAAGCCGTCCTGCAACCCTGATGTCACATTCTAAGCCAGCCTCTCTGATGAGCTGCTCAGCACACAGACTGAATAAGTGTGGTGAGAGGACACAGCCTGATGCACACCTTTCCTGACTCCGAACCTCGCAGTATCCCCGGCCTCTGATCCATGTGCAAGTCGCAAAGGAGCGCAGGGAAGTGTTCTGGAATTCCCACTCGTGTCAAGGAAACTCATAGTTCCGTGCGAGCCACTGTGCCCAATGCCTTCGTAACGTCAGGAAAACACAAGCACACACCTTTCTGGCATAGTCTCGACCTTGAGCCAAGATCTGTTTGACATCAGCAGTGATCCACATCCTGGTTCCACATCCTCTTCTGAATCGGACTGAACTCCCCGCAGTTCCCTATCAATGTACCGCTGCAACCATTACGGATGATCTTCAGGAGAGTTTTAATTGCAGGTGATATCAATGGTATTGTTCTATAACCTGAACACTCCGTTGGAATCCTCAAATTTTTGGAATGGGCACAAGTAGGGATCTCTTCCAGTCAGTTGGCCGAGCAGCTGTCTTGCGAATCTCCCGGCACAGAGAGTGGTGCTTCCCGGGCCCATCAGCTCGCTGGCCCCTTTCAGCGGTGCTCCATTGGTCCCCGGAGACTTGCTTCTGGCTGGTGCTTTCTGTGCAGCGTGAGCTTCTTCCTTCAGCACCGTGGGTGCTTGTTCATTTGCTCCCTGCTGAAATAACTGAACGTCAAGCAGCTCTTTTTTTGGAACAGTGACTGTGTGTGTTCTTCCGTGGATGCTCCCAGCATCATTCAGTAGTTTGCCCAGAAATCTTTCAATATTGCAATTCAAGATTTGACTTTTTTTTTAGTTCTTTCAGTTTAAGATATTCTAGGGGATGTGCATTGATAGTAAAAACATGAAAGAAAGCAAATCAATTGTATTTCTAGATGCTTGCAATAAATAATCCAAAGATGAAATAAAGAAAATTCAAAAAAATCCCCTTTATAATGGCATCAAAAAGAATACACAATCTAGGAAGGAATTGAATAAAAGAAAAAAGTTACATTCTGAAAACAAACACATTGTTTAAAGAATTAAAACGACCCAAGTGAATGTAAGGATGTTCCACGTCCACAGATGAAAACAGTTGATGTGGCGGACATGGCCATACACCCAGTGTCGTAAATTCAGACTACCCCCCACCCCAGAAAACACTTTCTTACAGACGTTGACAAGCTGATCCTCACATTCCTCGGGGACACAAGGAATCCAAACTAGCTGAAGACCCATCTGGAAAAAGAGCAGCGCTGGAGGACGCACCCTTCTTGAACTCACACGTCATACAAAGCTCTCATCATCGGGATAACGCGTCTGAGGGTAGACGGATCGACAGCGTCACAAGTGAGCCCTCACACTTACGTCCATGAATCGCTGACAACAGTGTCCATTCCACTTACTGGGAGTGAATCGATCAATAGTGCTGGGATCGTTGCATCTCCACAGGAAAAAGAACGAAGTTGTGCCCCCACCTCACACCCCATCCAAACTTAGCTCCACCTGGACCACTGACCAAAACGTAAGCGCTAGAGCTGTGAGCCTATTAGAATCTCGCACCCAGGTGTGGGTTTTCATGAGCTTGGGTTTGGCGATGGTTTCTTAGATACGGCAGGGAAGGCACAAACAACAGACACGTGGCATTTCATCATCACCAACAGCTTCTGTGCTTGTCTGTGAAGACAGACGGCAATTGGATTCATAATGACCCGGGAGCCCAGAGGGGAAATGGAGGGGGGGGCGTTGGGTTGGTGGGCTCACACACCTTTTAAATTGGATTGAATTATTGAATTGTATGAGGCTAATTGGATCTCAATAAAACTAAAAAATAACCACCTTGGTGCTTCGAAGGGCAGCCGACAGAACGGGAGAGAATATTGCGCCCCGTGCGTCCGATGAAGGGCTTTCTCTAGGATCCACGAAGGACAGAACGCTTACTGCACAGCAAGAAGATGACCCGCCGGTTACAACGGGCGAAGGGCTCGAGTAGAGCTCGCCCCAGAGGCTCTGCAGCTCCTCCTCGGCCTGCAGAAAACACCCCCATCGCGTCGCGTCCCCCGCTAGCAAGGCCACGACGAGCGGACCGGCGAGGGCCCGGAGGAAGTGGAAGCTTCGCGCCGCGCACAGGAAGGGAAACCCGCGCACCGTCCGGGAGAGGACTCTGGTGGCCCCTGGAGACGCTGGCGGAATTCCCGAATGACGAGCAGCCCGTGAAGAAGTGAAAGTAGGAACTCGCGTGCCTGCCCGGTTCACTGGGGGATCCACGGCCCCAGCTCGTTCCGCTGAAGTCAGACGCCGACGGCCGCACACGCATGGAGACTGCGGATGGGTGGCGATCTCAGGGTGTCTGTATGTGTCTGGGGTGGACAGAGGGCGTCTTGCTGGGGGATGGGGGTGTCCTAAGGTTAATTGTGGCCAGGAGTGTACAACTCTGCCAATATCCTCAAGGGTGCTGGCATGTGCCCCTCAAACGGTGGCGTGTGGGAGGCCTGGCTACACCTCAAAAACCCTTTTGCTTCCTCTCTGGAACCTGGGTGCAACCACACACCGCAGTGTAGCTCCGAGTCCCCTTCCTGTGGTCTTGCCTCCTGGCTTCAGTTCAGGATGGTAGGTGCCCCGCCACCCCCGTTCCACACTATTATCCCTGCCCCCACCCCCCTTACCCAGGGAGCCCGCACCTGAAGACGTGTGCGCAGGCACGTGTACACCTGTGTGTCCAGAGGCCTGGCCATCAGCCTTCTCCCCCACCTATCCCAGTACCAGAGCTTGGGGTGTGACCCAGAGAGGCACCCTGAGCCTCTGGGAAAGCAGGGGGTGGGGGGGCAAAGCACGCTTGTTTCCTTGGAGCTCCGCCCCTCCACTCCCCATCCCTCACCCGTGTGGGCAAAGCGACACCCAAGGCTTAGCGCTGCAGTCTTCCTGCAGGTGGGGTCGCCTGGGAGACCACAGGCCCCACCCAGGTCCAGACTGGGTTGCTCAGGCTAGGGTGGTTTGAGTATAGCCGGGTGCGAAGTGGGAGCGGCTGCTTAGTAAGCTGCGCCAGCATTCCTGCTGTCCAACCCCAGGTCGCTTCCTGGTTTAAAGAATGACCCAGAAACCAGCTGGCAGAAGGTGCTTTGGCATTGGGTTTCGGGGAAATGCAGAGGGGGAGGAGGAGCCGGGGCTGCAGCTTCTCCTCAGGTGTGTCCCACGGGAAGCAGGGCGTGTCCTGCCAGTTTCCTGGAAAACCAAACACCTGCCCAGCCCTGATGGGGACCACCCGCAGGTGACAGCACCAGGAGCGAAAGGTGCGTTTCTCCTGGTGCAAACACGGTCTAGAAAACCACTCGGGGGGCACTCCGCGTCCTGACTGTGGGGTCACCAGCCTACACTCATATTAACACCCAGAGCTGCAGCGTCCGGGTTGGTGACAGATTGGAAGTACAGGAACACGTGCC